GGTGGACTCGGAGGTCGTGAAGGTGGGAGCTTTAGACCAAAGCGAGGCGGTGTCGTGGGAGGGGTAGACAACGACGCATGTCGCTTCTGACCTGGTTTATTAGATGCCGACGACAGAACAGGGGAGCCAGGGGGAGAGGGAGATGGGCTTGGCCGAGCGGAGAGTGCAACGAGCCCGCGCCAGATCAGGGAAATGATAAACGACGCAAGCGCATTCTCAGCTGTCGTTGAGGTAGCACAGCGTGATAATGCCTTCGAATAAATTGGCATCAGACCCTGCAACGTCATGATAGATGGGTGTGAGACGGGTGATCTGGTACCGCGAGGTGCGCCAGGCGCATTTGGGACAGTCTCGAGTGCCTCCAACACTGGCAACAACTCTTTCTTCATGGCATTCATGATGGGGTCAACGACTCTTTTCACAACCGACACGAGGCCTTCACGGATGTTCTTCAGGCCATCCCCCCTCATATCAGTCTCGAGGCCGAGGCCAAGCCCGTCAAATGTTTCGAGCAGCTCGCCTGCCAACGAGGCAAGTCCGAGCGCATGGAGTTGGGTAGCATTCGGCAGCGGGTTCTGTGGCGTGGGCGAGATGTTGGCATGGAACGTCTCGGACGACAGGAGAGGCAACAGGTCGCTGGACAGGTTGGACAACAGCACGGAGAGTGGTCGATGAAGCGTGCGAAGCAATGCCCGGTACAAATGCGGGTTCTCACGAGAAGCCTTTATTTCGCTACGGCCATAGTCAGAGCTGTCACCGAGCCTTGGCAGAAGAAACCGACTTACGAAGCGATCAGAGCGCCCAATGCACGGCCACGTCCCGCCGGGATTGGTCTTCTCCCGTTCAGCAGTTCATTGGGGGCGGCGGGCCCGGGGGGCTGAGTGAGAGCTTTGGACACCGCCTCACTGAGCTTGAGACTGAGGACTTCCATGTACGAACCGTCTTGGGTCACAGTCGAGGGAGCACGGCCGGCGACTGGCGACGGCGACGGACGCCTAAAGTTGGAGAGAGACAGTTTGGACAAAGGACGCGCAGCTCTGTCAGCATTCATCATTGGGTCTGGGATGGGAGTGGGACCAGGGGAGGATGGTCGGCTGATGGGACGGAAGAAAGAGGGGGTCTTGAGTGCGTTATACATTGGTGATTGCGGCGGTGACGACAGACTGCTGCGGTGACAGTTAAATACTGTGCAACTGCTGTTAATAGCGAGTGTTGCAAGGACAGTGGTGTTGTGCGTGAGGGTAGTGTGAAGTTTTGGAAAATAACTACGGCGACCGGAGCAGCGAGCTGGATCCGATACTTGAGGTAATAAATTTATCCCATATGGAAGAAGGGAGAGCAAAGGCGGACGAGGTCTGCGGTAGGGCAAGAGGTCCTAAGGAGGCCGGTCTGTGTCAACGAGGAGGAATCCAAGCGGTCCGAAGAGAATGGTGCGGATGAGGGATGTGACGCTGCAGCAAAACGAGTCAGCGCAAGACACCAACGTGGAGTCTGAGGCGAACGCACCCAGGTAGCGAGGAGAATCTCATAGATTTGGACGAGAACGCTGTTGAAGGAGGAGCACGACGGCGGCGGGGCAGGAGGAGAAGGAGTAGCCCTTGCAAAGAAAAAAACAGGCAGGAGATTATAAGGCAGACTACGTTCCCACGCCTCTCGCCTGCTGATCTGCATCGATACCCGACCTTAGCTCGGACCTTGCTTGCTCTTCCTCTTCCTCTTCCTCTCGCCTGCCCGCGACACTTGCGCCATTCGCCTTCCTCCCGCTCGTATCTCCCCCTTTCGCGCTCGCGGTGCCCAGAGATCCTCTTCAGGTTAATCTCGTCTTAAGACGAGCGGCGGATGTGGTGCGATTATTCTCACCTCGCGTGGACTAGCCTAACAGGTTGGGCGGCCGCGATGAATCTTTCCCCGGAGCTGCCATCTTCCGTCGGCTTTCACATTGCGGCCCAACAGCGGCGTTCGCAACCCTGCCATTCCATACCCGCAGTGGCCGAAATGAACGCATGCACGCACGCACAAGACCCGTGGAGATGCTGGGACACCCCGCTGTGTCGTGCACGTTCACCACTAGTCAGCCTCATGCAGTCGCAGGCCCCAACACATTGGAATTATAGGCCACCATATGCACAATACAGAACAGATAACAATACAAGTGTGTCAGTCAACGCATCGATGGAATTCCATCCTCCTTAGCATTTGCAACAAGAATAAAAGCCGCTTCGTACATCAGCTCAGTACGACCTCAGACTAACGCCAATCTCGATTCACTCTCGACATGTCATGAAGATCGTAAACTGTCGTGAGAGAGCATCTACAGCCCTCTTTCCAATCGACTCTACGATAGAGTCCACGCTGTCACCGTGTCCGCGAGACCGTTTTCATTGTCTCCGTAGTAGATGATGCTGTTGTAGTTGACACTCAACTGGTACGTGGCGTACACCGTATTGAGGCCATATATTCCAATGTTGCTCGAAGTCGAGTCGATATTAACAATTTGTGACTGGCAGTTGTTGGTCGTATCACAAGTTTGTGTGTAATTCTGCAAATCTTCAGTTAACATAGTGCGCACTGTATAACACAAAATACCCCAACCTGGAAGAAACTATAATGGCCGGCACCTATGTGGATGCAGAAAAAGGTGAGCGCTGCCTCCCATAGGACACAGTAGCCACGCACCGAAGATCAGGATGTTTTGTGAGTTGGATACGTAGAGAGCCCATGCTGCGTTTTGCGGCCATGACGTGGGATCACCGTAGTTGCCATCTAGCACGAACGGAGCTGTCGGTGCGGGATCAGGTTGGAAGTACGGCTGGGATCCAACCATCAGCTCAGAATCCGTTTTTTCTTAAAGATGAAGACACTGACTGTCTCAGTCTGGATGAAGCCCATATAGTGGTTTGCAGCATTGACGAGCCCATATTGGTATAAGATGCTGTGTTCGTCTGGGGATATCAAAGTGAATAGGTATACGCTATCGTCAGCACTGATCTTGACGTACTCGCTGTGGCATGTGAGTGTCAATATCAGAGCACAAACGAGTCAGGCACTAAACTCACAAGTCCCGATCATCCATACGGGGCCTTGCGATTCCGAAAGAATGCCACGGCCGCTCCACAGACTCAGCTGGGCACTAGCTGTATGCAGTCTCAGCCAATGTACCGGAGATATGTGGAAAATGTCTTAATAGACATACTCGATGAATCCAAGTCATGATCGGCAAGCCATACCCACAATCCCTGTGGCCGAAAGATAAGAGCGCGTCTACGTCAACGGAGTAGTTCCACCGACCTCAAGGTAGGCGCTAGCGCTTGAAGTGATGTACAAGCCCATGAAAGCCGCGAAGCATTGATTCCCATCGCTTGAGCTTCCCGCCGGACACTCGGCGTACTGCAGGTTGGTGCCATCCCCTGCGTGGATGTCCTTTGTCAACCTCAAGGAGCGCGAAGCTAGACCGACTTACTGCCTCCGAGACTGCGCCGCGGATGGTGTCAGAATAAGATGAAGACGCAAAGTGACATGACACTGACATGATATATGTATCCCACGTCCCAGCAGCACCCTGTTGTCCAGCAGGGTCGTGCACGTTCCATTCCACAACGATGGCACCCGCCGCTATCGTTCAACAAGATCGGTTGATCCCTGCCACAACAACCAGAGGCTGCGCACTTACTTGGTCCCCTGGTTGAAAAGATCATGTCGGTGAACTCCGCAAGGCCCTCGTCGCCGGACGACGCGCCGACCTGAATAACGGCCTGTGGGTTGTTGTAGTCCTCAAAGTTCTCGCCGTAGCCCATGATTGTCGTCCACGCCTCACCAACGACCTGGGACCCAGCCGGGATAGTAATCGTATCGCTGACCAAGTAGATTCCAGCGTCGAAGAAGATGATATAACACCCGGCGTACTATGGCACAACAACGTCAGCATACGAGATCCCTCGCGGAATGCGGCGGGAGACGGACATTATCGAAGACAGCCTGGATCGCGGCGGTGTCGTCGGTGTTGGCGTCGCCCACCGCTCCCTGCGACTTGACGCTCATGAATTGACTTGGCGCATAGTCAATGTACTGCGGATGTCCCTTTTCGAAAATCCAGCCTGAGCTGGCCAGAACGCTGGAAGGCCGCGAAATGGAATTGATGTAGCCCTGGGTGAACGTGCCAGTCCCACTGGTGCCAGAGTAGACGTTACCCTGTGCCCACGAATCGATGAGGAAGGTGCCTCCTGCCAGCTGAAAACATTTCAGAAGAGCGAATTTGGACAGCTAAGTATGCACTCACTACAACGTCGCCGTTTGCGGCGCCGACAGCGGTACCGACATTGGTCAGTTGAATGTTGTTGAGCACGATGGAACCGTCAAGCGAGGTGGTAGCCTCAGCTGTTTGAATGAAGTACGTAACGTCTGTTATTGCCGCATCTATGATAGTTTCTGATCCAACTCCTTGAGAGTCGCCGTTCGTAACACCGTTGGTAGTGGCCAAGGCGAAGCCGATCTATGCGCCTCTTAGCAGGCAACTAGCACTCGGTGGCGCCAAAAACACACCTCACAACTATTGATCGTAATCCCTGTACCGGCGTCAAGCAATGCTGTAAGGAAGTCCAGATCGTGTGCATACCTTGGAAGGTCCATCCCCAGTTCCATGTGGCGTCAATCTGGGCGAAGTTCCATGATTAATACTTGCTGAAGCGCTTATGTGTCGACAGCTTACCGCTAAATGCCATAATCAGCCAATGCCCCCTCGATCAGTCAGCAAACTGGCAGATAAATGGGGTGCTTACCAGTTTGGGCGTTGTTAATGGTGACATTCCGGACGGTGAATCTGTGATTCGTGTGTAAATCGATGTGGGAGTACCGCATTAACACCGTGCCCCTACTTACTGCTGATTACCAACAGACATGCCATATTGGCCACCGTTGAACACCATGTCTACCAATGATATATCAATAAATTTCCCGGTGCAGGCAATAAAGACCACAAACCTCCCATGAAACCGCCACTGACAGGTGGTATTCAGCGAAGCCGTAACATAAATAAGTCATGCCGTGACGCTTCCACTCACCTTCCATTCTCCATGTAGATACCTGCGCGAGGCGATCAGCGACATTGTGGCACAAGAGAAACCACGGACTGTACCTCTTTGAGTGGTCCCGGAAGCCGTGCTCATCTCGAACACAATGTTCATAAGCGAGGTCGACTGGGAAACTTGCCAGTGGATTCCTGTGGCGCCCGAGGTGGCCGACGTCTCGGTCAAGTCGATCACGAAGTTGCGAACGGAGCGATAGCTAAGCATTTAGTGTCACCCATGCTGCAGACTGGGATGGGCAAAGAAGCTTACAAATTATCCTGGTTAACATACCATTCCGCCCCGTACCCGTTTGGGATGTAAGGGTCCGCGTCTAACGCGGCGTTAACATGGCAAGAGAGCATCTAACCTCAAATTGGAACTTACCAACGACTGCTGCCCCACTGAAATTCGAGCTTGCCAATAATGTGGGTGGAACCCTGGCATCCCCGACAAGTACCGAGTAGTAGTACGCAACGATGGCGCCCGAGACGCGATAGGTCCTAATGTTGTCATGAAGTGTTAGCAAAGAGCAATGTCCAGCACAACCACCCAAGCTTACCCTTGAGGGAAGAAGATAACGGCTGGAGTAGTCCTGTTCGCCGGTGGTTAGCGTGGATGGACAAGAACACGGTTTGTATTCTCTTACGTAGACGAACCACAGCCGTCGCCGCATCGGGTTCCATACGAGATAGCTGCGCTGTCATTGAATCATGTTAGCATGAATGTGATTCTGGCCAGCCGTCAGGATTCACTTTATGGCATCTGTGTCATCTGCAACACCATCGCCCACAGCGCCATAGTCCTTGACGTTGCGATAGACTGGGTAGGTGGATGGATCTGGAGCGTACGGCGCATACCCTTGGTGGGTGATATTTTGAAGCCAGTATGGGTCACCGGGAGCTGCAGTCCCGCCACTGAGGGCTGTCGAGCACTGTGAGCCGAGACCTGAAACGGTCACAATCGCCGATCCCAGCAAGGAACATAGCGTGAGCAGCACTGGAAGGCGGAGCATGGTAGACCGTCAGGTAAGCCCTACAGCAGGGAGGATTAGCAAAGTTCCACGGGGCCCCGGACTTGAGGAAAAGCTAAAAACATGGTGTGCCCTTTATATGGGTAATGAACGCGTCTCAGCATCGGGACAGCCCTGGGATTGCACGCAGCTGCTTGGAAGCGAATTGCCCGTGTAAAGACAGATGACCCATGATTGAAGGCACGGAGAAAATGCCTGCTTGACATAACGGGATGATATCTTTAGACGAATAAGTCCGAGGACGGACTTGGCCTGTTTACTTGTAGAGCGCGTTGACAAGGCACACGGAAGGATGCAAGGGATCTGATATGGCAAGCAGGGCATGGACGCGCAAGATGCCCCCGAGCCGCGGAACAACAGCCCCAGAGACGAGCGAGCGTCGATGGCCCCATGACACAGAACAGTGTGTTCAGGCCGGATGGACCGCCCCCTTGGGCGCGTTGCTTAACGCCGATTCCCGAAGACGCGTCTGCGCGCTCACGTGCCCGAGCAGCATGCATCTTCTGGGAACTCGATGCAGCATGGCTTCACCCTTGGACTCACCTGTAATAGACAATCCAGGTCTCGTAGCGGACGAGACGGACGAGGAATCGGCGGGGTGTCGACCGAGGGACGAACTATAAGAGAGCCCGATAACAGCAAAAATAGACGGTCAGCCTCCGGCCACGCTATGGTGGATCACTGGATCGTGCGTTGTGAGAGTCGGTGAGACTCATAGATCATGGAGGAGCATTTGACGCGAGAAGTTCTAGTTGACTTGGCTCCCAGGGCCACCGCGTTTGATGCATGCGGATAGTCCCCGTTATCGGCCACCAAACAGACACGTCTCATCGCAACGGTCCGACAACATGACACGTTTGAGGGCCCCATTGATCTACTTCCGTCCTCCAACCCGAATGCCATCGTGTCACAATCTTTACCAAACTGCTTGCTGCCGAGAGGCTGTATACTTCTCTGCGTAGACGAAATTGCCTGATACCGGCGAGAGGGAAGCTTGAATGCGAAGCGCGAGATAGCCTGGATCAGATAGCAAATTCACTCAATCGTTCCATGTGCCCGCTGCGGACGCACCATATCCGTCATTCCTAGTAGAATTTACATGGAGAGCGGCACTAGGCGGTACCGCATGACTGCCCAGCGTCCTCCAGTGATCGCGTGGCGCCACCGAGGGCGGAGGTTAGAAGAGATGGTATGTGTCGAAAGCAAACTGTCAGGAGAACTGCTGTGAGCTCCAGATCCGTTCGGCGCCAGTACTACGTACATAACGACCAGGAACGAATCACGCGGAAGGATCTCTGCGCCAGGAGCTGCTCCAGAGTCTTCTAGTCGTGTATAGTCCCGAATGTCTGGTAAAGCGGCTTATGCTACAGAACGATCCCTATAGCGCTTTGTTTCCTGGTGCAGGTCTGGATTCGTACTTGGCGGTATCTTGGTGGAGCGGACTTAGTTGGCGTCATTGATCAAGTGGAGCATGAATTTCACTCACAAAAGTGACAAAACCTTCAAGTTGATGTGGCTAAGTGGCATCCATGAGAACACCATAGTAGGCTGGCAGGGAACCCCCATCATCTGACTGCACTGTGACCAAAAGTCAGAATCACAGAGTCAGTCTAGCATTGAAAGCAAGGCACAGTCTTGCAGCTGCCTAAAACAGACAGACCTCTCAAATCAGAGACATGATTTGCATAGATAGGCCACGATACATATAGGTATTTGAATCATTCGCCCAGCTGCGACTGATGAAACACTGCGGCAGAGGCGACAAGAATGGGCGAAGACCATGATCATCAAAGAAAAGCGGCATAATTCTGGTAGGTCCGCTCGCCTAGCATACAATAACATGGTTTCATGGACAGGGAGATTTACGTTGGCCAAGATTAACACGTGCAAAGCTGAGATCGCGGTAGTCGAAAAGGGTAGAATTCGCGCTTGTTAGAACCCCAAACTTCTGGGTTGGTTTGTAACAATATTTCCCGAGCACATCGACCCAAGCGAGAATACATCGTGTGCCCATCTATGAACTATTTGCGATCAGACTACCGTGCCACAAACAAGCGATACGAGTCCGCTTAGGTACTCTCGTGATACAAAGCACATGGCTCCCCGTTTATGAACTGGGGAAACACTCACGATCGTGGACACTTGGTCTTAAAGCCACTCACCCAAGCCCGTATCTGCAATTCGCCAAAGTGCTCATACAAGTTCCTAGGTGCGCAGGTCGGACCGGCGAAGGTACCTACTGTACCCGCACTCGGTTCAGGCCGACTCCGCAGATGCGATGCATACATTGAAACTCGGATTGGAACCTCGCTCCGAGGTAGACCCGGCATATCGGCATGCGGAGCCACTAGAGCTTAAGATTCCATGTGGATCGCGCACACGTTTGACTGGAATAGCGTAAATGTGAGTGCCCCATTTTCAGAGAACGCGAAACCAAAGAAAATCCTGAGAGTACTCGAGATGCAGCGCGGTCGCCGTGCGCCCTCAAAATGCAAGTCTGGACACAGTCCTGGCAGAAATCTGGCGCTATTATTATGGTGCTTACCGGTACGACCACACACTCCAACTCCTACCAGGCTTGTCGCTTTAAATCCGTGAGGCATTGATTGGTATCTTTATCACCTAGAGTCACTGGATAACAGGCCCAGGTCCGACTATCTGGTATGCCGTGATGGTTGTAAAGACAGCATATATTGACAAATGCGTTTTCTTCAAGCTAAGACCGAGATATCTCACTATTGTTCAACAACGAGCGAGTGCGTATAACCAAGTTGAACAAGCTGTGGGAGGTGACGGTGTCTACTGAGTGATGCGGCGGGTGGATTGCTGTAGTTGTGGCTGTGCATGTGCACTGTGGCTCGCTTGAAATTGGGCGCCTTTCATTTCCAAATTCGCCTCAACGTCTTGGCTCCTACCGCTGCGCAGCCTTTCTCCTGAGTATGAGCCACTTCGCAATTCTCGCAGCTTGCAGACAAGATCGGTCGCATTCTGTATTTATACCCGTAACAGCGAAGAACACTGGAACAACGATGGCGCTACCAACGGGTTCAAGTCGTTGTGACGGCGGCAAGTTCAAGTCTGTCGTCCTCCGATGCCGACGAAACTAGCCCCGCTCATTGGGGCGTTTTTTTTTGCTCAGGAGCCCGTGACATGGTAAAGGATGTGCCTCATTCCTGACTCTATCAACGGAAGCCTCGGCTGTATGCTAATGGAAGGTGGGCTAGGGGAAGTTAAGCAAATGCAATTATCCTAAGACTTCCCCTCTCCTCGATTGCATGGCACCCGTGGCTATTGGTGTGTCCGCCCCTTCCCGTCATGTTTGTCGTCATCTGTACTCTTAGTAACCCGCCGCTGCTCAGCAGATGTAGTCATGTTTAGACCTCTTAAAGGAGACCGTAGCCCCAATCGTACCTCGATTCTCGCTCCCAGCTCACAAACCATGTATTTTCTGGCTCTCCCTCTCCTTACCGGTGTCTTTGCTAAGGTTGTGTCTGCCGCGCCATTCACACCAACGGGTGGGCTAGACACAAACTCTTCGTCACCTGTCTATCAGCCATTGAGTGACTTCGACTTCCAGTCGTTGGTAAGCTATGAGACTTTCCGCCTCGATTTTTGTGCCAACTCCTTTGGGTTCAGAATCTTGCCCTCTACCAAGAATTTCTCGAGCTGGACCTCTTCCATCATGGCCTCGCCGAATTTTCTGCTCAGGAGTTTGAGTTCAACAATATCACTATGGACGACCAGTTCATAATTGAGTATATGGCGGATCAGGAGCTTGGACATGCGATTTTGCTCACCAATATTCTTGGACGTATGTAGTCTATTCTCAATGCTCTTCTGGTGGAATTAATCTACGCCCCTTTAATTAGCTAACAACGCCTCAAAGCCCTGCAATTATTCGTATCCAGTCGAAACCGCGCAAGACTTCATACAGTTCAGTGAGATGGTCAGTTTTTTGCATGTCCGTCATTTGCATTTTTATATCTTTGGTTAGGTCACGCGCGTGGGCGAGGCCGGAGCCTATGGTTTCCTTGAACACCTTGATTCTCGTGCTGCAGCACAATTAATACTCCAAACCGTTACAGTTGAAGCGAGGCAGGAGATGATTTTCAGACAACTTCAGGGAATATTCCCCATGCCAGTGAGTAGTTTCGACTTCTCCCGAGAGTTACGTTAACATTTGCTGCCCTAGTTTGCCTTCAATCCGGCTATCACCCAGAGCATGCAGTGGACGTTGATAGCACCGTTTATCGTTTCATGCCCTGCGGAAAATAACCGCGTGGAATTCCAGAACTTCCCTGCACTCAATATCACCGTATGTATCCCTTAAAATTTTTTCGTGCGCTCATTCATCCCCTGCACAAATTTATCAGAACAATCCGAACTTCACGATGTTGTCCAACAGCTCGGGCCCCACGGTCAGCGTGAATGAAACTGCATTTTCTACTCCTGGACAGTCCGTCAGTCTGTCTTGGGAATCGCCCGGGATACCTGTTGGTCCTAACAATTCGTACACCACGAACACGACTGCCGGTACGCCTCAGGTGGGTAACCCAATTCATGTCACAACTTATCGTCATATATCTCTTAACCCCCTTTTGACACAACTGCTTGGGTGCGTGACGTGTATATGCTGCTGATACCGTTGTTTCTTGGTCCAGTTTGTCGCCTGGATTTCTCAGCTCAATACAACGTACACACCGCTCACGAACGTGAGTAACAACACGGGGGTCAACACGGGGGTCACTCAGCAGCCCGGCGGGACGATTTATGGTGACGGCACCTCTCTGACTTTCAACGGCACCTTGTACGTCACGCCCTCTTTCTTCGTTATCAGGAACAGACATTGAGCTTGCCCTTAGGTTCGTGTTGGTCACAGATTCTAATATCACAGTTACACCGGCGAATATCTCTCTTTTGAATTCGCATGTTGTTGCCGGCCCGGCCGTCTACCGCGCTGGTTGAATCAAAGTGTAGCAGGTATTGTGAATAATGGAGGACTGGATCACTGTTTCGCACGCGAGCTTGTACATTAATCAATAAGTGCATACTTAGCACACGAACTTATGGACACGTTCAAGTAATATGTGACTGTGACTGATAGAATAGTTTCAGGAACGAGTGCGAATGGCTGTGACTTTGATTCAATCGTCTGCGGACCGATCCGGCTCGACTTCAGTGGTGGTAGATCGGATCGTTATGTAAAGAACCGGTTCTCTTAGACTAAGTTGTGGCTGGTCATGCCGCACGCTCAACGCGAACGCCGCGTACTTGCAGTCGCTCTACGATTTCAGCAAAGCCTCGACCATGAAACGGAGCGCAGACAAGCAGCTTACGAAGGATGATGCTGAGGACGACGAGGAAATTGAGGTATTGCCTTCTGTATGCTTGTATGGATTGCAGCGACTGACACCTGGCCTACTACAGGAAAGCTCGCCAGGCCAAGGCTTTAGAAGAGCAGACCAGACAGAACTTTCGAGGAGGCCGTGCGTTCTTGTCGTGGTTTCGTCCAGTGACTCTCATCCGTAACTGTCTCCAGAATTAAGGGCCTTCCTAGACGATCTATGGCGGGAGCTGCGGCTGCAGGTTCAGCGGCACCGCGTACGGTACCAGCACCGTCAGTGCCCGCTTTATCTTCTACAGCGGAGGTCAGTTCGCGTTTTCCCTCTCAGAGTGCGGAACTCAAAATGTTGCATTCACAGCCGCCACCCAAGTTCTCTAGCTTTTCTGGCTTCGGCGCGACCACTAACAGCTCAACATCGTTCTCCTTCGCTGCTCCCACAACACAAGCACCATCAACCCAGCCACCACCTTCAGCTAGCACGTTTATATTTGGACCATCTTCAAACACCAGTGGGATCGCTTCTGTCACGGCGAGCGGCCCTCCTGTCGCTCCTTCCGCGTCGCGGGCCACTAAAACATTTGCGTCGTTCTTGAGTGCAGCCCCTGATCCTCCGGCGACCAAGCAGAAATTAGATGCAGCCCCTACAGACGCAGAAGATGACGCGCTCAGGGAAGAAGTGCGGTACCTACTCGCACTCCGTGGTCTCAATACTTCATTCTTGTCCGCTGTGGCCAAGGCAGTTGAATCAGACCCGTTCATTGATATTGCCGGTGTTCTTGAGCAATACAAGAACATGCGTCTGTCTGCGCAAACAGAATACGACGAGAAGGTGAAGACCATTCGAAGTGCTAGTACGGAGTCACGTTTACCGAGCTGGGATGCTGCCACCTCAACGAAACCGCCAGCTGCCAGTCCATCAGCCCCTTCGTTAGGCTCAGCTTTTATGCCCAAGCCTCCATCCTCTTTCACTGGATTTGGCGCATCGACAATCTCGTCGCCACCTGCACCCACGTCGAGTTCTAGTGTGGCGGACGCTGCTAAAACGTCTAGTAGTACTACTGGCTTCACGTTTGGCTCAAGCTCAGGCGCTTCAAACACGTCTGGTAATACTACTGGCTTCACGTTAAGCCCAAGCTCAAGCGCTTCAAATACGTCTGCTAGCACAGCGCCTGCACCACCCAAGTCGGCGTTCACCTTTGGTAGCTCAGGTTCATCGTCATCCTCGTCGTCTCCCTTCTCGCTCGCGCAGTCAACATCCTCCCCCTTTGGTGCGACGGCTTCTCCATTTTCTAGCGGCACCTCTCCTCAATCAATGTTCGGTTTTGGTAAGAGTGACTCTTCCACCATCAAAGCTGAGGAGGGTGCGTCTTCAAAGTCGAATTCGTTCGCGTTCTCGAATGCGCCACCATCTGGATCTGCCAGCATTTTCGGTAAGCTAGGCGATGACAAGGACAAAACGAAGGATGTCAAGGACGAAGAGGCAGCCGCCCAAGCGAGTAGCGGCTCTACATCTGGATCAAGCCTCTTCGGCGGAACGTCTGTTTTCGCCACGCCAGAGAAATCGACAACCTCATTCACATTCGGTGCTGCTTCTTCCGCGGCATCTACTAAGTTCGGTGGGTTTAGTGGTTTCGGCAAGGCCGGAAGTATAGGTAATCCAGTTGGCTTCAACTTCGGTAGCCCACCCAAAACCCCCGACGGAGAGACGGCCACTATTCCGAGCAAGCTGCCTACATTTACTTTCGGATCCTCAGCCAAGTCGGATTCTGGCAAGGCCCTTACGGAAGAGAATGCGAGCGGCGAGTCAGGTACAAGTACACCTGCGCCAGAAGCCGAAGCCGAGCCTCAACCTCAATTGATATCAACTTCTGTACACGATATGGAGGGTGAGGGCGAAGAGAATGAAGTGACGACCCACGAGATCAGGAGCAAGGTTTTCAAGATGATGAAGCGTGATGGAAAGAACGAATGGAGTGATTTAGGCGTCGGTAAGTATTAAATACGTCCCGGCCTTCGGGTTCGCTTATGTCTTCTGGCACTTAGGTGTGCTGCGTCTCAAAACGAATAACGACACAGACGCAAGACGAATACTGCTGAGGAACAGCAGCACGGGCAAGATCACAATTGTAAGTTGAAAACGGCGTCCTTATATGCCAATGAATTTTAACGCAAACTGCTTCTGTAGAACTTTATCATCTACTCAGGCATGAATGCTACCGTTTCAAAAAACACTGTTTCGTTCATCGGTCACAATGAGGGCACTTCGACGCCATATCGCATACGGACAAAGACAGAAGAGCAAGCAAATGCTTTGAAGTCTGCTCTTGATCGGGAAATAGAATTTGTCCGTGGAAAGTCGCAATCATGAGTTGTTGCATCTGTGCGCCAATCTTACAGTGTTTTGATGCATGCGCATGGACTTCCGATGCAGTTCAATTAGTATCAATCATTCTGATGCAAATAATTACTTTCATCCGCACATCGTACAACCGTGGTCGGGGAATAGAGAAAATGATCAGTAAACGATCACTTGCCGAAATGGCTCTGCGCGTTATGCCATGTTGAGTAGTGTACAAATGCCTCGCTGAGAAGCATTTCAATCTCATGGTCTGTCCACCCTTGTGTGGGTAGGGATTGCAAGAACATAATGATGCCCTGGAAACCGGACTGAGCTTTTGGCATCTAAGACAGGTCGCTTGGACGAACCTGGAAATCCATCTCACGAAGTTTCTTGCTCCACCTAACGAGGAACGCGGAGCATACATATAGATGAAACTGAGAAAATGCATCTGGTCCTTCGGCCTGTCGTTTGTGAGTGTCTGAGCCTGAATCCGACAAGAATCACGAAAAAGATCACATACCAGATAGGTATCCCACATGCGAATGGTATTTTGTACACTGATCTCGCGCATCAATAAGCAATTCATCCAACGGAATGCGAACTGCATGAATTCAACATTTTCTGCCTCCAGATGCGCCGCCAGCGGCGCTGTAGCTCCTTCAGCTCTCGTTCACAAGGTTTTTAAAAAATCGAAGGACACGGACCATCGATACGCGCAACAAGTTCGGCCATGCGCTTGACGCTTCTCTGAATTCCAGGCTGAGTGGCAATGTAGTTGTCCTGAATGCCGTCGAGAAGACGGGAAAGGCACCAAAACGTATCAGCCTCGACAGCATCGAGAACTTCTTTTGGAAGCAAGGCCGGGTCAAATTCCTCAGGATTTAAATCTGTCAATAAAGCAATTGAGTATATTTTACAAGACGAGACAGCCGGACGATGTACCGATATACGCAGAGAGGAAGACCTGAAAGAAGGGCGTGGCTAGGTCGTTAATGCCCTGAACATATCCACTTGCAGGATGTCGTATAGCCCAAACATACAATATGCGCTCTAGGCTCTGTATAACGGTCGGTGTCTGCGTGTAAAGAGATCAGTTATCACGTACTCGCTGTGTGGCCGCCTGCATCCATAGGCGCACGCCCGGCCGGGTACGAGGGACGTCTATCTCAATTTGATGCCATATCTGCTGGTCGAGACCTTCTCGATTGCGAGAGAAGGCAAGCTCGACTAGTGACTGGTATTCCTGTCGTTTTCTTGCCAGTGTAGAGGCGCGCAGAGGGGCTGGGAGAGGGAGATATCCCTTGGATACCGGTGATAAGCAAACGTAATGGCACTGTGAGGGAATACTCACGAGAAGTAGTGGCCACACTATGGGACGCAGATCGCTGGGCACTCCATTCCACGCAAGCTTGCGTAGCTGGGCCATGTTCACGTCCTCATGGGTTACACACTCGACAAATTTCTGCCGCCTGTTCGTCCGGATAGATCGCTCGCGATCCAGCTTCTCCGCGCGGACGCCTGCATCTGCCCCTACCTGTGATTTTGATAGTTTTCTCGACGGGCGACGCTGGATAATATGCAACGGATCTAGCTTGTGGATGAGAAGTTGGTGCGATGCGCAGATATACTCTGGATGTACCGTTGACGATGCCCTCGACATCATCTCTGACGGAGCTCTTGTCTTGCCTCACTTTGGTATGGGAAGCAGCAGGCTGCTCCATGGCTTCCGGCTCTAGGTCACCAATAATCATGTCGCCTTCGACATCCTCGTACGCGCCTCCATCTCCTGGTCTTTCCACCTCACGGGCGTCGAAACTTCCCCGCTGATCTGATGACTTTCTAACGATGGTCCATCCGTTCTTGGGTGGCTGGACCTCCTGCTTGACGGGATAAGAGCTAGGACTGGGGTGATTGATGTGGGTATATGAGGATGCGAGTGTCGATGAGGAGCTCTTCAGTTTCGGCCGGGGCACAGGTTTGGGTGCAGATGCCGCAGATGAGTCCCGTCTGGTGGTAGAGCGGTTGTGCCATCCTGAGTTATGTGGTGCCTCAGAGTCAGACCCGCTGTCCCAAGCATCGTCCTCTGCCCAGTCAGGTATGGTATACGAAGAAAACCGATGAGACGGGTTGAGTCCGACGTGCGGACGCGCGGGGGGAGGTCGAGCAGCCATCACAGCCAAAGGCAGACCAGAGCCGTCAGGGAAGTGATCGAAAGGCGCCAGCACCGCGCGTTTAGACTTATCACGAGATAAAATTCGGACATTGGTACAGACTTGGTACACTACCCAGCTACACAGAGGACAACAACGAAACGAGCAAGTTCGTGCAAAATACAAACACTGCTACAGAACGGTTATGGCTCGAACACAATCAACGGGCCGCTTTGTAGAAATCTTCCTCGGACCATCCATACGTCCGCTTCAATCTCTTGCCAAAGTCTTTCAGCATAACGGGATACAGCGTGGAATCGGGATGAGCTTATCTCAATAGTTAGTTTGGTTCATGAACAGAGAAAATGGCACTCACGCCGATGGAACGTAATTGGCTAGACAACGGTGTTGTCAGCATAATTCAGTACCAGAATATGGCAACCGAGTGCTAACCGTATCGCGGGGATCAGGGGGGTCGAACCTCACGCTCGAACCTGCAGTACTGGGGTCATACTTGAACCCCATCTCACGCATAACCTGTATAAACGTTACTCAAAGTAAATCTAGTGCATAGATTAGGAACTCGCCTTGAGGAAATGCTCCCACTTCATGGGCGCAAGACCTTTCTTATCGTCTTCCGAAGTATTCAGGAGTTGATGCATATACATTGATGTTTTCTTAGACAGCCTGGAAAAGAAGCTGAACTTGTTGCCCTTCATTGCGGGCTCCTCTTCCCGTGGCTTGTCCGCCTTGAATCTGCTGAAGAAAGATTTCTTCTCTGGGAGCGATGCGAGGTTGCCATAATCAGGCCGTGACTTCACCTTCTCCTTCAGCTTTACACCCTCCGTCTGCATGTATCCATGTCCTGATTGCACCGACTGACCTTGTGGCAAAGGGAGGGAGGTAGTGGACATGTACGGTAGCGTCGTTGTCGAGCTGTTGATCGTCGATGTACGTGCAGGTTTCACAGGCGACTTAGGAGGCACAATCTTCTTTGAAGAAGGCGAAGTGGGCACCCCCAATTTGCCATTAGCGGGAGTAGGTTTTGTAGGAGTAGTCGGCCTGGCCTCCGCTTGTGCAGCATCTACAGCAGGCAGAGAGCCCTCTGTCACCGCAGGCTTTTTCTTCTTCTTCGGCTTTTTCTTTTTCTTCTTGGCAACAGAGCGTGTCTCGTCTTCGTCTTCAACTTCCTCCATAGTGGTCTTGTGACTCTTAGGTGCTGCTGTGAAATATCCCATTGCTTGTTAGCCGATTTCCAAGCTTCCCATTGATAGGACATACTGGCATTGGATGATGGAGTTGTGAACTTGGCTGCAGCCTGAGCAGGTGACGTAGAAGCATGATGGGGTGGGGGAGCTTTAGATGATTGTCTGGCCGCAAATGGACGTCGAGGTTCTGTTCTCTTCGTAGTCTTCAACGTGGGATTCGACGAAAACATTCGTCCTATAGTGCATGAGTCATCTCCTGAAGAGAGCACGAAATCAATCCACTTACCCCTGAGCGAACCCAACAACTTTAGGAAAGGATTGCCTTTGCGCTCATCTGCTAGTACATCGAACTCCGGTGCGGCACTATTGGGGTTTAGGAAGTCTGGATCCGCTAGGGCCGTATCCATTGCCTCTCTCAACATATCACGAAGCGCATCCTCTTCATCTGTGTCATAGCCGGCCTCCGAATCTCCACTGTCGTCCTCATCTTCGTCCTCCTCATCATCATCATCCTCTTCGCTATTAAAATCATCTGATCCAGATACGGACTGTAATGATGGCATAGAGCTATCGCTATCGTCCGCAGGGCCATTCGTGATAGCGAGAAACTTTCCTGCTTTACTCTTCACTCCCGGCTGTCCCTTGCTCTTGATGGGTACAAGGCTAGGCATGTCGTCGCCGTCGTCGTCAGCGGCTCCTCTCGTTGGGATGTAGAATGCATGCCACTGTGGCGTGCGCTGTTTCACATCATCCAGCTGCCATAGTGTATCAATATCCTTCCCACTAGTAGCTTTATAGTTCTATTGATAGCAGCTCGTTAATGGAAGGCATGTATGCAAAATTAACCTGAAAAAGAAAAAGACGAACGAGGTTTACAAATTTCCACATGTTATCGAGCACCTGTCGAGATTTTGTTCTCTCTAATGGGTATATGGTATTTTCAAAACTCGCGCACATCTCCGAGGCCATCTCTGAATATATTTGCGCATCGACCCAGTTCTCGTAATCTTCGGGCATCTCTCGGGGAAGCTTCTTCCATGCTTCGCCATCGGGACCCAATAAAGGCGTCTCAAGATACTCTTGCAACTGCACAATCACCTGGAAGACGAAATTATTTGGCGTTGAAAAGCCGCCGAAGCGTCCATCGATTTGGACATTCCGGGATACCTACCGACAGGTCGCCTACTGCGTCCCAGACAGCCTGCGGGAAACGCTTCGCATCACGGGGGGTTTCCTCGACGGCTTCATGGAGGATTTGGTATAAAATCTGCCGTGGTATCGTAGATTGTGGTAGGCAGAGCTCCACGATGATTGAGTCGATGAATGACTTGTGTACGTCCCTCACGCGGAAGAAGTCGAAAACATATTCTGGTTGATTTGTACCACTGTCCTGTAATGGCTTGAAGTATTGGGAATAACGTGCTGGCAGCAGGTTAGCCAAATGAGTGCGAACGCCAGTATCGATATGCGTACGAGCAGTCGTTGCAAGGAGGGCAAATTTGGCCTGGCTAGCTTCTGCAATTACATTCACTATATCGTACAAAATGAGGTACCGGGACCTCAGATTAGCATTCCTCTTCAGTTGGGCTTTAATGTTGCTGTCCTCAATACCGTCCTCTCCGAACTCGCGAAGGATATCCCCGACGAGCTTCCAAGCGGAGGCTAACATGTACGAATTGTGAATTCTACGATGTTCCGAAAATGACGAGAATGTGTGTAGCACCGCCGTAAAACAACAAATGCACTAGGACCATACCTGGCTGATACGATCGAAGCAACATAACTGGGATTTCGTAGCGGGTCGAAAGTGCTGTTAGCGGACGTTTGAGGAGTACGAGCCTTGATTTCTGTGCGAATTTTGTCATAGAAGATATCTGGATCTTGCAGGCTGAGTATCTCATCGAGATTACCTAGGCATGAGAGATCGAGGAATTAAGCGGGTGCAGGGTGTAAGTAATGCACATTCGAGCATACTTGCGAGCTGGGAGTCTGCGATGTTCAGGCATTGATCCAGCCTAAAAGGATTTCCCAGCGCTCTCTTCGAGCGTTCGATAAGATCCTCTGCGCCCAGGAGTCGTGAGTCCTTGATACATTGAGATGCATGTTGACCTACCACTGAGGAGATCAAGTTTCTCTCTTCCGCTCATTCTGCTCATTAGCATCAATTCGCCTGTACCTTGTGCACCGTGCTTTCCATTGCGGAGGACGAGTGCACGGGCCGTGAGGGGCTTGTTCCCGTCCTTGTCGCGGCGACTGGCATTTTTGGCGAATACTTCCCGGGGACCCACGGGAACGAGTTCGCGGGATTTGGAGATTGATGGAGGCTTCTTGCCTGGAGGCATTGTGGCGAGTAGACAAGCCTGTAGTAGGAGCTCGCCCGCCATGAAGAGATGGTCACGTGGACAGATTCCATTCTTGTATCCGATCCTGTATCTGGCCCATCAACGACGCATAAACTCCCCCGACGCGTCGCTCCTCTTCATCACCATGGCCACGCATGCTCACCGTGATGTCCCACAGCCATGCGCACTAGTAGCCTGGACGGCGTGCACCCTGCCCTTGCGCTGCCTGCAGCTTCGTCGTCGCTGACAGCGGTCAGCTGAAATAAAGCATTGAGAGACCCAGTGGAATGTAGCGTCTTGGTGAAACGCACTTGCAATCTGACAGTACCGTGGCTGTGTACTGAGCGCGGTACTCCATACGGCCCATCATAAATGCCGCGGTCGACTCTCCTTCGCGAGTCCTGCTCATCTGTGCTGGCCGTCGGTGACGATTCTTTCCTCCCCTTCGTCTTCGTCTTCTTTCCTCTGCAGAGCAGAGCCTTTGTCTGTGTGTCTTGTCTTTTCTGTTGGCCTAGATGGCCGCCTTGAATGTTTCGCGTAAGTCTCTCCAGATACGGCCATCCGACTTCGCTCATCGTCCGCAGTCGATGATAGCTCGCCCTTGTTATCATATTCGCCTTCTAATGCCTGGCTGGACGCTTCGGCTAACGACACACTCGCTCCGTACTACGCATATGGTTCTCTGCACACGACTTCAGTTGCTCGCGCGGAGGTGGCTTTAACTTTCAATGGCACTGGCTTCTGGCTTTTCGGAGGATTACGACCACATTACGGTACTTTCATTGTCTCGGTTGATGGAACCCAGATCCTCTACGGGAATGCTAGTTCGACGCAGCCGGTAATCGACGCACTTTTAGCTGGTGCCTCAGGATTGAAGATGGGGGAGCATAGGGTCGTGCTGCAGAACGCCGGTACGGGTCCTATTGATCTGGACGCCGTCGTCTTCGAAACGAGCATTGGTACAACTTCGCGGTATGTTTTCGTCTAGTTCTGACCCTTGCACACCTTCCCAATTCGTCTCAGAGCGACTGTCAAGGAGACCGTAATCGATAACACGAGTCCCAACTTCAAATATGGTCCCTCAACCTCGGACTGGTCTATGGTCACCGACCCGGCTTACTTCAATAATAGTTTGCAGTAAGCTACTGTCTTTATGGCCTGTTGGCTGGACGCTAAAACAGACCAAGATACTCCTTCACACAAAACGCTCAAGCGTCCCTTACGTTCTCTGGAGATGCAGTTGCCGTTTACGGAACGGTCGCGCCGACACATGCCAATTACTCGATCACGCTGGATGGTAAGACCTCACAGCAGTTCAATGCAAGTGATGTCAGTACTATTCATGCGCAGGTATGTGTTCTCCCACCCTGACAGTAACGTTTCCGCTCACGAGTCCTATCATTAAAATAGACACTCCTTGTGTGTATATTTTTGATTCTCATGAAGGTAGCTTCTTTGAATGTTTCGTTGTCTAGTTCTTCGGTCAGGATTTAGGTCCGAAGGAGCATACCCTGATCATCAATGGTAATCCCGGGAAAGACGCCGGTAGATACGTGGATGTTGATTTCGTGACGGTGTACAGCGTATCCGGTAATACGTCTACAGATGCTAGCACCGTCTCGAGCAGCACTTCTTTGCCTATGGTCACTGGCCTGACAATGCCGAACAACCTTGCCAATGGGACGAATTCTGTGTACGAGGACAATTATCTACACTGATATCTTGGTAGTGCTGACACGATCTATAGGAACACAATCTCTGGTGACGCATCGCGTCTATCCTCTGGCACCATAGCCGGAATTGTTATTGGAAGCTTACTTGGTCTCCTCGCCCTACTGCTACTCCTTTTCATCTTTCTCCGCCGCAAGGGCGGTGTCATCCGCGCTAAGTTTGGCTTTGGCGGTGACTCGGACAAGCCGGACGCCCTCACTCCTGCACTGCCTATGCAGGAACCGGACGTAGAAGCGGCATATGGGCTCGATAGCAACGCCTTTCATGAGGACGAGAAGCAATACCAGGCATCAGAACCCGTACCGATGTACACAGTTGATCTCTACAGTCAGCGGGACGAGTACGGCAAGCGGATGACAAGCGCGAGTCGGGCGACGCGCTGGTCGCAGACCTCGTACGGCACGATGTCCACTCACTGGGACGACCCGTCACTGCCGAGATGGTCTCCCCCGAGAGTCTCGGCTCATTCGATACCGAATTTGCAGTATGACACTGTGACGCACTCAAGGAATGTATCAGATACTTCGACGATTGTTCATCTTGAGGTGGAGAGTGGCTTATCTCAAGTGGTGTTACGTCCACGTCTGTCGAATGCGCCTCGGGTACGTTGGTTGTTGGGGCAATTGACGTCATTTGGATACAGATTCGCTGTGCTAACGACGTTTTTGGCTTGCAGAGTGCGCCAGTCCGGCTCCGTCCTCCCAGTCCTGCTTTCAGTGTGACACAATACTATTTTGAGGCATAGGAAAGGGGAGGGTAGGTTGTGGCTGTGATGGCTGTGATGCTGTCCCTATTTGCTGTTGCAATCAAATGTTCTGTCTGAGATGCTATGTCACAATATCACAGCTTGATCAACCACTAGCGGGATTCACATGGTAATACTATCGTCCTGTGGCCCATTGGTATAGTCCGTGACGTCTGGCACTGGCCGCTGCGAAGACAACTGCAGACTCTCGGCTCTCGATCAATGTCGGATAGCCTTGGTCCTGGGCCTGGCTAGGTATGTTTCATACCTCGGCGGAGTTGACACAGCAAGCTCAGTTTCTCGTTCCACAGGTCGTGCTGGACTCTGGGTTCTGCTTACTTGTGAACCGAAGAGAGTGGGGCATTTTCGCATCGTTGTCTTGATTTTGACATGATCCCCCTTCGCGGTATCGGCTTTGGACGGGCGTTCCCAGGCAACGTCCGCAACGACTGATAGACAACATCGCAGTTATCAGATTAGTCGCGCTGTGGTCGCGAGTTCTTTGGATGATAGCTGGGGCATCTCATTATCAGATACTCTGGACCGTTCAGGAATATATATAGCTGCGTGCGGCTCCGAGTTGTCTTTGTCTGTTGAGGGTGCGGGGAGCGTTGGCATGGATAACGATAGCCAAACAAGATGTGTCACGACAAAAAGCATGGCAGATCTGTCTCCCGGCATAATCTCGATCCATTGTCTCCTTGCGACGCGTAGCGTTGTGTGACAGGCCCCGGTATCCCGGTCACGGCCTCGCCACGGCCTATATATTTATTTACGCGTCTTTCCTGCTTCCATACGGCTGTGTGTACTCTCCTTTCCCTTCTCCCAACTTTTCCCCGTTGGTCGAGCTGAGCTCGCTGGAACTCCTGGTTTCTGTTTGGTTCTTCTGCTCGCTCGAAGCAAGCCTTTCATCTCTTCTGCCACACGTTCAGCAGAGCAGACTTGGTGTTTCCTCTTTGCAAGTCAATCGCCTATAACCCGCCTATCTCCAATCCTACGCGAATATGGGCAATCTCATTTGGCACAATTGGGCTCGCTACGTAACTGTCGTAGCCAGTCTCTGTATGTAGTGTATTCTGGGCATCTTATCGCGCTCTCATGTTCCTTGTGATCATCAGATGCAATTTGGGCAGGCTTTTGGGGGATTTATTTCCGCAAGTTTTTCTGGGACTTCATTGGTGGGACTCTGCGTGATCCTGGAGGACTCCAGTCAGTATGCTACGTTCAGTTATACGTTACCCGCTAATCATGCATGCGTAGGCCCTCCCCGAAGGTGTCCTTTTTCATCACTATCATTGTCAAGTTCCCAATTATCCAGATATCGACAATACTTTCGGCGATGACTCTTGTCGCCCTCGAATATCCACTGCCCATGTTCAAGGGCACTGCCTTGCATCGCAGCTTCATTCTAAGAGTTGTGCTATTAATATTGCAGGCATTTATAGCCGTGTTATTTTATCAAGTGCGCTAATTTCGGTTTATTTTTATACCATGCTTGACGTGCACCCTTTGTAGGGCACAAATGCCACGTTATATTCGCTTATCGGCGCGATAGGTTATACACGCGCCATAGTTCTCGGGGAGACCATGGAAGACGCGAAGAACAATAGAGGAAAAGGCGGACATGCCTAACACTGACTGCTGTATTTCTGGGGATAGACCCAGCGTACCTGCCTGGTTGTATCCTCGCTGCAACTTACACTCTTTTTCATCGCGTTCCTTTTGTCACTCATTTGACTTTTCCATCCGACTCTGCAGCGCAGGATCAGTCCTAGGCCGAGGATATGTTGTCCGTAGTGGAATTTTTCTGATTTTTTTCGATTTCTTTTTTGTTGTTGTTTAACTACACGTTTCTTTTTGTGCTGCTGTTTTGCATCCGCACCATGTACTTGTAGTGGAGAAAATGCGCCGTCATCGACTTGAGGTCGATCATCTTATTGAATCGTGTTTGTGCGTGCGGATACTGCAAGTTAATTGGCCTCAACAGGCTAACTTCCGAAGTTCTGAGCAGATGACGCTGGAGTAGTTCATCCTGGGTGGTCATCGCTTATTCAAAAGTCGAAACGTCTTTCTCAATACACGGCCTCACCCTGGATACGATCTCGTCGTACTTAGCTGCTCACTACGTAAGCTTCGCTGCCAAAATCCATCCGATCGTATCAGCATTAGCACAGGTATCGCATTCTTAGGCATGCCTCAGACTCCAGTCGAGATCATCTCGAAATTACCCGCAAGTTTCAAGAAAGCACAGGATTCTGGTGATCTATTATTTTTCCCATCATCGGTGCACGAATACGATGAAGACGGTGTAAAGGTCAGTACCAATGTTACTAATACCAATCATGGCTGACATTTGTTGTTCATCGGACTTGCTAGTTTGAGATACGGCTATGTCCCGCTCTGCAGAAGAAACCCCATCTACCGACCCCGCATTTTGAAGTCGCCGCACAGCTAGAGTCCAGCAGACCTGACCCATTCTCCCCGCCTTATGTCCCAAACCTCTACCTTGGCGAGCTGCGAGACGAGGAGGAAGGTGCGGAATATGTTGTCCTGGTTCGTACTGGTACGCGGCTTTGGCAGTTGATGAGAGACGACTGAACGTGCGGTCACAGTTCAATAAATACTCGGTGGTGCCGCACCATATCCTCATGGTGACCAAAGGTATGTACATTGAACAATATCAGAAGTACCCACACAATCAACATACCGCGGATGCGACCAGAATATCAATCGCAGACATCCCCGCTACATCCCAGTGATCTGGTGCAAGCGTATCGTCTTTTGATTGCCGGACAGAAGGCTGGTAGACGTTTTTTCGCATTCTACAACTGTGGGTGCCCCGGATTCCCTCCACCTTGCCCAAGTTCACTTCGTGTTCAGGTGGCGACCTCAGTGGTGCCAGCCAGCCACACAAACATATTCAGCTCATCCCGCTCGAGGACGACGGTCCTCCCATCGAGAGATTAGCGAGAGCGATGAAGGTTGATTACCCAGGTATCCATAAAACCATAAGATTGTTGCGCCGCATTCACATATTCGTGATAGATAAACCATTTGCGCTGACACAACTGCCTTATGCGAATCACGTTCGCCGGCTGCCCACTCATCTGGCATCTGGATCATACGACGAGCTTGAGCGTACACTCGCTGACGCTTTTCTCTCGTTGCTCGACCTTACTATATCCACTGTACGACGCGATCCTACCTATCCAGCTGGCACCCCATCTTATAACGCCATACTCACGCTCGAGCACATGTACCTTGTCCCGAGGAGGAAGGAGAACCACATCCTCAGTGAGACGAGCGAACCGCTGAGCGTGAATGCGCTTGGATATGCGGGTATGTTGCTCGTGAAGAGTGATCGCGAGCTGGAGGCGGTTAAAGCCGAAAGCGTCCGGAAGATTCTGAGAGATGTGGGTCTAGAGAGCGTGCACGAGTTGCTGGTCAATGATCATGTGGAAGACGTAAATAATTCGATACAGGATGCTGTTTGAATGGTTACTAGATGCTACAGCTACTGTTGAAAAGATTTGAATAATTGTTTTTAGACGTCAGAGGGCTGTGGCTCCGGCTGAGTGTTTAAATTCTGTTGGTCGACGTCTTAGTCAAACTCATTGATGGGAGCAAAGTAAGAGGCGCGAGATAAATACCCTAGCTGTTCCGAAAGTCACAGTGCCTGTAGCTGAATATTGAGGTAGCAGAGGTTATCCGGAATCTGGACTTCGTACTAGTACTAAGTACTAAGTAGTGGCGTTTGGGACTGTGCATGCATCACAAATGATTCCATTGGTAATATCGTAGTCGACTTGAAATCTCTCGATACGTCTCAGTACGCGGGGTGCTAGCTTTGTGCCTACAGAACAGATTTATTTAAGCAGTTGACGTCAAGCTAGTGTGATAACTCGCTTCACGGTTGGCATCTTGAGTAGGCTATATTTCAATATATCACTTAGATCTACACACGAGACCATGCCTTCAAGTTGTGCGCGTACGTATGATTTTCAGCGGTGGCACGAGCAGCGCACGCGATCTACGCGATCTGCCCTTGCCCACGTACGTGGATATGTCCCGCCTCTACTCGTTGCTTGTGCGAGGAAAACCGGGCTGCTGCGTCGTTTCTGTCCCTCAGTTTCGTGCTTATGCCAAGTCACCAAATGCTGGTCCATCTGGCTATTGGCTGGATGTCGTCTCGTCATCGTCCACACTTGTACATTTGAAGTCCACATTCACAGCGTATGCATCCCGTTATCCTAGTCTTGGAGAAGGCAGCACTGCGACTCCAGAAGACGTGGTTGCTGATTTCATAACTCATTTGTCTCACACATTTCCCCGTACGAAGCGAGCCACACATGCGATGTGGGCCTGGCGACGCAATGGATATATAGACGCAGCTGCAAGTGCAAGTGGCTCTCCGGCTACCTTTGGCTGTTCTGATGGCGGCGAAGCAGGCGCGGGTGAACGCCTCTCCCGTCTGTTAGAGCTCTCTCGGTGCAAGGATGTCATCGTGGTTGTCTATCGCTGGTATGGGGGTGTGCAGCTTGGATCTCAACGGTGGAAGTGTATCTCTACTGTGGCCAAGGAAGCCTTACAGACAGGTGCTTTTATACCTGGCCCCGGTGACTCGAGCGACGCTGCATCTAAAGCTGGAAGGCGAGAGAAGACAAAGAGAACATCGAGAAAGAGGTAACAGCCTTTAAAACCTTTGTAAGAAGACCAATCCGCTCTATCTGATGCTACTAACTTCGTTTCCGTAGACAACTTCTACATCAGAGTGTTGACGCATCTTCATGAATTGGCCCATAGAGGACTGATTCACGATGTGATTTGATTAAATGTCCCTTAGTTGCTGGAAACTTCATATTGTACGTGGTATGGCTTATGTTTTTGTCTGGGTATGTACTGTATCTCCGCTAATGTCGCTTCACCATCACCTGATCTTGCATTCCGAACGACATTCTGCTTCTCAATTCCATTCACGATACCATTGGCGCACTCCCCTCTCATTGTCCAGGGTATAACCCCATCCGGACATATCTGAACATCATATTATAATGGTATTGGCTTTTGTCGACTACAGCAGAAATCCAGTGAAGGCGTTCATTTTTTGCAATTCACCTAAAGGCCAAATACTCGGTTTCCAGTGAGTATTTATGAGACCATAATGGTTGAAGGACTACAGCTGTAGTTGATCCGGTTGACAATAGCCGTTTACTTTGTTAACCTGCCAGGCTGATATTTAGGGTGGGGACTGTGAGGACCGAGCAGATAGCGCTGGGCCGCCTGTATGGACGTTCAGCGTTTCAACACTGATGGGGCCGATCAAAGAAGTCATCGGGCATTTTAAACCAGCGTGAACCCACCGCTGTGCTTCGTCAGCGCGTCAGGCCTCAGGCTTTGCATGAGCGTAGCTTAATCAACGGGAGTTGATATCATAGAGCTCGTCTAAGTGAGTGAGTTCGCATGAAGGTGTCATCTAAGCGTCTTGAAATTTGCTATGTTGCTACCCGAGCATGCGTGGTGAGTGTATATTACAGGTTCTGGTGACTCGGATTACACAGACTGCGTCTTGTGCTCTGCGCCGCTCACTCCCGCAGCGCTGCGGCGCTGAGCGGTCAAAAGATTGCTCGCTACATCCCAGCTTGGTAACTCCGGTCGTCGTCTCCGTCAGCAATGTGCGCTGGCAGGCGCAGTAGCGATGAATAGCGTAAGCAGGGGGCATGCAAGATATTTAAAGTGTGCTGCTGTGAACCATAAAAACACATCCTTTCGACTACAATCTTCCGGTACCAGCTCAGCGATCATGTCCCACGACAAACAGTTCACCCTTTATACAACTACAGGTGGCCCCAATGGCTGGTGAGTATTCCCATTTATTCTTTCAAGGTTTTATCGGACTTGTTGGATTTACTATAACTTCTCTAGGAAAGTCGAGTTTGTGCTCACGGAGCTTGGTTTATCCTACGAGAGCATTCATCTCCAGCCAGGCCAGCAGAAGGAGCCCGATTATACCAAGTATAATCCGAACGGACGCATTCCTGCATTGGTTGATCACAGAAACAGTGATTTTGTTGTCTGGTGAGTCTGACAGGGAGTAATATGCTGCTGGTTGGTCTGGTCACTATTGACAAATTTCGTAGGGAATCCGACGCTATTCTTGCTTACCTTGTGGAGATATATGACCCTACTCACCGTATTTCTGCTGTGACTCCCGAAGACAAGGTTCATCAACTTCAGTGGTTGTTCTTCCAGTCTTCTGGCCAAGGGTGAGTACTTGTCAGTGCTGAATATATCACCGCTGACGCGTCTGTAGCCCCTACTTCGGACAACAGTTCCACTTTAATCGGTACCATCCTGTTAAATTGCCTACCGCAATAGAGCGTTATCAGAAAGAAATCATTCGCATATTAGGCGTCCTCGACAGTGTGCTGTCTAAGCAGGAATGGCTTGTTGCTGGTAAATGCACCATCGCCGATATTTCTTTTGTACCGTAAGCCCCAGTTTTCCTTTCATTGTGGATATCTGGCCCTGACCGCTTGATGAAGCTGGAACATCTTGGCGCTCGATCCTTCTTTGGTCGACCTTGGCGTCAATGTGGAGACTGAGTTCCCTGCATTTTATGGGTACGGTCCTCACACATATCTTCATCAACTAATTCTCAATCTCTTCGACAGCTGGCACCAGAAGCTTGTTTCGATGGAGTCAATTAAGAAAGTTTGGGCTCATAGGCGGGCTATGCTGGAGTCCCAGGCATAGGCTGCAGTGCTTCCAGGAGATACTTAGAATCACCAATTTCGTTATGGGTACACAATCATATATGCATTTTTGAGACAGGGGCATGAGGCACTTTTGCTTTTGACCTGAATATTTTCGAAGTCAAAAGTAGCAGCTCAAGTACACACGAGTTCAGTGTCAACTATATCAACTGTGCTCCGAAATATTCACCTGACCTTGATATGTGAAATCGACCAATGCGAAGAACTTTGAAAGGCGAGGGAATTTCAGAGCCAGTCAAGGAAGAGACGGTGGCCCCTGATACGGGAATGTCAATGAATTCTCTGCTATGATCTATACTGATGTTATGTCTGGATGGAATTGTGACCCTCGCTACTATTTTATGTCGATCTAATATCCGCCTATGAGGTCTCCGAAATTTCCAGAAACTAAGACTATCCCGCAGTACTCTCCCGAACAACGTTGTACTACTAATCTGCCCGATACCATCAGCGGCCCTAATTTTCAATCGCAATAGATATGCAATTACTCAACTTCTCGTCGATGAGTCCCTCCAAATATTCCAGAACTTATGTACGATTTTCTGCATACTGTCCTTGATACGTGTACATGGTCAAACGAAAGATGCATAGAAAGCGGAGAAAATAAAAATACAAACAGTGCAATTTTCCATTGATTTGGATGTCGTGTGCGTTTGCTTCATTCGTTCGCCACAAAAGCTTGTCAGAAGGATGGGTACACTCAAATACATTCTGCGTATAAAACATTCGAGCTAATTGACGTACTCAATGTACGTTTTTCGTGAATCGATCTCTACAAATCCGATCCTCTTTACGCAGAGCCCCCCCCTCGACTCGCTGTAGCCGGCCGCGGTCATGGAGACAAGTGGTGAACGAGCGCGACAAGCAGCCACATTCGATCATTGATCTTGACTCCGCAGCTGTGAGCGTTAGGCGACTCAAGCCTTGATGATTTGATCAAGCCACTGCCTATGGCAGCGGCATGCACGGCATCATGACAAACCTTGGAGAAATGTACCAAAGCTATTGCGATGCTTTTTTCCCTCCAGTGTTTCCCCCCACAGGTGTTAAAAATAGAGGCAGCTACTCTCGAAGGTGTGCTTTTGTTCAAAAAATGGCTCAAAGCAATCCAGGAAGTGGTTCACTCAAGGGGCTTGAGACTTTCCAAGAGTTGCAAAACTGGGCCACTAATGGTAGTATCGTAGCAATGCATCATCTCTCTAAGGCACAAAGTACAGGATGCCAAGACACATATTGTCGCTAGATTGACAACCGTCAGATGACAAACTACATCTGTCTGATGCGATGTTCGGCGCTGCAATCATGGCGTAATGTCTACAAAGGTGTTAAGAGTGTACCAACTCCTGGGTACAGTAACTGAGGGATTTCTTTTAGGTATATTATGCGATAGCTCTACTATGCCAATGGGTCCTCCGAACTAGTGGGAGTCCCTCGATGACTGTCCCAACTAATCAAGCCAGACACTTGGCTCTCGGTGAGTGATTTACTAGTAGTGGCCAAAGGAACGTGGTTTGGCATTCAGATGATAGTAGCCTACTTCCCTTGTTTTTTGTGATCTCATGTCATCTGTCATAGGAGCCTGCAGCCGGATCCAGTGGACGAGATCGAAGAACTTGACAAGGCGAGCACTGTGCAGACACTGGTGTCGCTCTACATAGATGAATATACAACGCACTATTTCATTTAACTATCTAAGAGCTGGATCACGGCGGGAATCCAATCACTGCGCTCCGTTGGCTATCGTATGATAGGCGAATCAGTTTGACAGATTCGGGGGATGTGAGCCTGCGCCACTCACTCCCTGCAGCTGTTGGACGCCAACCCCTCAAGGCTTTGCTCACTGTATCTGGGCTACGCGGATGTCATCGTCGCCGTCTTCGTCAGAACCGGCGCTGTTAGGCGCAGTAAGTGGGTCATGATAGCATAAGCAGGAAGAATACAAGATATTTAAGGCGTACGATGAGACCATGCAAGTACATCCCTCTCAATCGTCTCGTCTCATCATCTGAACTCTTCGAATATTAGCCTAGTCATGTCCCACGGAAAACAGTTCACCCTGTATACAACCACGCGTGGCCCTAACGGATGGTAAGTAGTCTGATTTACTCGTGTATGTTAATGGACTCATCGTGGACCTTTCAGGAAAGTTGAATTTGTGCTGACGGAGCTCGGTCTGTCCTACGAGAGCATCCATCTCCAATTTGGCGAGATGAAGCAGCCCAGTTATACCAAGTATAACCCGAACGGACGTATTCCCACATTGATCGACCACAAAAATAATGACTTTACCGTCTGGTGAGTTTTCTCGGCCAGAATTGGGCTGTTCAACTATGCTGACATAGTTTTTAGGGAATCCGATGCCATCCTTGTTTATCTTGTAGAGAAATACGACACTGCTCATCGTATTTCTGCTGTGACCCCCGAGGACAAAATCCATCAACTTCAGTGGCTATTTTTCCAATCATCTGGCCAAGGGTGAGTAAACATGATCCATCCGCGCCCACGATTTAAACTAAGGCTCCCAAAGCCCCTACTTTGGACAGTTATTCTACTTCGATAAATTTCACCCCGTAAAAATACCTACGGCAGTAGACCGCTATCGGAAGGAAATCCTTCGGGTCTTTGGCGTCCTCAATGGCGTACTGTCTAAGCAGGAATGGCTTGTCGGCGGGAAGTACACCATCGCTGATATTTCTTTCATATCGTGAGTCTACATGCTGCATTTTACCTCAGATAGCTGATTGTAACTGCTGCTATCAAGTTGGAACGCTATCGTGCTCGATCCCGCTGCGGTCGACCTTGGTGTCAACGTGGAGACTGAGTTCCCCGCGCTGTACAAGTAAGCTCCTCTCATCCCTCATACATCCCACTGGTAAGCTACTCACGACCACCTTCAAAGCTGGAACCAGAAGCTCGTTTCGTTGGAGTCGGTCAAGAAAGTTTGGGCTCACAGGGAGGTTCTGCTAGCACAGGGGTAGACAGCGTCCAACTTGGAGGGCTGTCGCTGTACGGAAACGATGAGGGGCACCGTATTGTTTATAAACTGAGTGTATCTACGGGGGGGGAGATTGTACGACACAAGGATCTGCGTTCAAATTTATTAGGTATTGGGGCTAAAGTTGGGCCTCGAGGATTTTGATTTGAGCATTTGTTTGGATGAATGAAGTCATCGGCAGCAGCGTGAATACACAGGGTCTCCACGCAGATCATGCTGGCTGCGCCCCAGAACATTTATCTTAGGTGAGGCCTGGCAATTAGCTGGAGTGACTTACATCTGGCCGGGGGTTGGGGAAGTCCAATCGTGATTTCTCGCGCATAAGTTGTAGTATTTTGTAGTTTCGGAACCCACTGCATAAATGGATGTGTGTATTTTTTGAAGCTGCCGCAACGAGTAATGTGCCAGTCAAGTCAGTGGTCATGAGTATCAATATTCTACCGGAGGCTACGTTCCTGAGAGTCCTAAATGCCGGAAGCAGTATAAGGTTTGCCGTGGGGCTTACGTAATGACGTGCTACGGCTATTGGTTGCGGCGCCTGGCGAAAGCGGCTGCGTTATGCTCTCGGCCTGGCATCTTGCCATCATGTCCTCTTCATCTGCTACTGCGTGTTCGAGGTCGTCTTCGCCGTCGCCTGCGACCCCGGAGTCCACGGACGGCCTTGAGTCTATGCTGAGCAAGGACGATCTTTCGGCGTGGTGTAACTCTCTCACATCCCCAAGCTATCTCATTGGCGACGAAATGCGGCTATCTGACCAAGGGAAGGTGGATATCGCACAAATTTTGCAGCTAGAGGATCTGATACAAGACGACGCTTTTCAAAAGTATGTTTCTTTTGGTATGACTCCCGTGTGGCAGAGTTGATGAGCTCGTGCCCTTACAGTCTTACCCCTCCGAAACTGGAGGACAATATGCCCGGCCTAGCACTCCCGAATGACCCGCGGAACTTTGTGCACTTAGCGCTTCCCCATGGGCCTGTGCAGACTACACAACCTGTTCCTCCACCTCCCTCGCAGCCTCGACCAGACCCCTCTCTAACAGCTCAGCGCGTTGTGTATCCTGCCAAGGAAACATGTTACAAGTATGGAGCCACTTCTTCAATTTCCGCCCTTCTAACTGCTCCATACATCCGAATTTACCCAGCCTCCCTATTATGATACCGAGCATTCCCGAAGGAGGCACTAAAAGTAGGGTCGAGACTCAAGTTCGCCTGACGGTTGATTTGGCCCACGCCAGTGCTTCTTCTGGAGAGCCTTTCAAGTACGACAGAGTAGGAAGTTGGAAATGGTTGAGATTGCCGAAAGGTACTTCCACTAAGAGAAGAACGCGCAAGGAAGGCAGAGTTGGTCAGTGGATCCCTGGTTCTCTTCTGAGTCCTAGCTTATCGCTCTGATTTAAGATGCACCTCTTGAAGAAACTCTATACCTGACTGCCGAAGTGACTTGTTCCACCACTCCACACACCCGAGTGACTTGTTGTTCAAGTTGTCAAGCCCGAGAAGTGTGTTCATTTTTAGGCCAAGTCTGTTTAGCTGTTTATGCTTGTTTTTAGGCGAAGCGTGTTGCTCGAAAAATCGCTGCACGTGTACGACCAGCCCGCTCTGATGAAGAATCTCAAGAGGATGCACCTGTTATTCCCGGGAGAGGGAAGCATGAGGACACCTCTAATATCGTCCAATTCAACTGTCCTGAAATTCTTGACTTTTCATCGGGCTCCGTGGTTCTTCCATTGCGAATCACTTGCTATTGCCGTCATCACCGAGAAAAGGCTGGATTTAATGTGCATTTTGCTATGCTGGATCAAACAGGTCGCATTGTGGGTTCAGGCATGACGAGGCCAATCATGATCACCGACGATCATAAAACTACAGGAGCGAATGCACAGAAATCTGGACGCTTAGATCCGAAGCAGAACTCTCAATGGTCTCCGGATGTCCCAGCTGATCCATCAGATGCAGGTATTTCCGTTAAGCGCAAGTCAGCGCGCACAGAGCACGGGCAAGAGCGATCGAAGAAACGCACCAAGCCGTATGAAATTGGACAGTACATGGGAAGAACTGTCAGGAGAAGCAGCAGCGGTAGTCCCGAGTCCTCTTCTAACTCTCCTTCTGCTCTTGGGACCAGATGCTCATCACCGCTGCAAAACTTCGTTTCAAGTACAGCTTCATCGTTCTCACAGGCACCTCAAGGACCTACAGCTGTTCTTGTCGACGACAATGTTCAGGCAGCGGCGGACAGCATTGAATCCGCGTTCGATTTTTCTTGCCCCGTTCCCCAGCTCGCACCCTCAGCCCCTGATTCTATTATCCTTCCTTCGCATTTTGAAGTGGAGGCTTCTGCCTTGGAGCGGCTCACTAATTCACAGATTCCTGCGTCATCTCCTGTAGGACAACAACAGATGGCTTTGAGTCCTACGCAGACTCTCAATATGCCTGCTCCGGCGGCACCTTTCATTCTTTTCGGCCAAAATCCCCCATCTTCCGTATCGCCTCTTCCAGCCCCCAAGATT